AGAGAAAAAGTTGTAATTTTGACATATGCAAATTAAAAAAAAAAGTAAATTAACATACATATCAGTTTCATCCTGACATCCATGCAATTACACTATATTTTTTCTCTAGGTGTTAACTTCTCTGCTTTTTAACAGAGCAGTGATCCCACATGCTGGCGCAAAGAGGTAATACTAAAGCAGGTTGATTACTCTAACTCCATTTCCTCATTGTTTAGCACACTAAGTTTCTAAACCAAAGAGGCTCAGTCAAATTGTGTATCTATTTCTCACAGTTTCATTCTTCATGCAGAGCAGGAAATAAAGTTCTTAAAAGTGCTCTTTAAAGGCATGAGAAAGCATTATTAGTCATGGACCTTCATGTGCCTAATGCTTCAAACCCTCCCAACAGTTAGCTGCAGAAAGCATGATGGCAGAACACAGTACAGTTCATCACACAAGTAGGAAAATAAAACTTCAGGTACCTTTTGGATATAAGGGAGCAGCATGGAGACTATGCTGTCTGTTATATTCTCTGCGGCTCCAAGAGCTGATACAATGGTGGAAGCATAAAATGCAAGAAGAACTCTCAATTGAGCAGAGTTGCCAGGTAACTCGGAAAAGACCTGGATAAGAGAAGATCAAGTTGTTGAGATATCTGAAAAAGTGGAAACACTCATATCGTTTCCCAAAAAAGAGTAAGATCTCAGAAATCCAGCATGCAAGTTCCACTAACTCCTGCTGATGCAACCAAAGGCATCACCTCCCCCAGCAGATAACTTTGCCAGAGTTTACTGTCCCCTTCCCCTTTTAAATTCTCATTAATATTTGAAAGCATACATTTAAAACATCCATGACAATCCCCAAAAGAGATATCAAAATTCAAAGTTACAAACCAGTAGGACAAATGAGTTTATAAAAGCAATTAAGACAATGAAGTACTTTTAAACAGCACAGTATCTTTAAGTAATACAGTAGTGCCAAACTGTTTTGTCCTGGCTTAGTGGTTCTCTGCTACTTCTCACCTGAATTTTTACAAATTGTAATCTATGTAAATAATAAGACATGTTCATACAGCTTGCCAGTAAATGAGTCCTTTTACTATATGATATATGAATCAAAATATTAGTAAATGGCATAATACTGTACATACACAAAGATGGGAACAAACAAGTGACAACACACCAACGTTCTAGAATGAAAAAAACAACCTTCACTGATTTTGCCACCAGTCTGCAGATGAAATCCATGAAATCCAGGTCTTTGTAGCAGTGTGTAATGAGAGTACCCCTTGCCAGCGGGACACCAGGTTTCTTTCCATGGTGAAGAGAGTAAAATTAGCACACTCTAGGGTAAAGCAAAGCTCCCAAAGTAAATATTAGCATTTACCTCTTTAAATTAAGCCTACCAGTTGGTTAACACCATTGAAATTGAAAATAAGTAATAGAAACCCATACACCTCTGGAATTTTTACATTAAGACAGATGCTGAATAGCATTACATATAATGTATATTAAAATAAACAAATATTTTAGTAATTTACATACTTCCTAGCAGTTGCAAATACTTAGACCTTAAAAGCACACACTTTGACACTAACTTTGTCAAAACAAAAGTAATTATGATTGAAGCTTTTTATCGTTGTATTTAAAGAAAGACAGCAGAAACAACAGGTGGGAGTTCAAGCTCCATTCTTGCAATTAGATCTTTCTGTACAATCCTACAAGCAACCACACGAACAGGTGGACCATATTCAGAGATCTACTAACAGAGTCAGGATATTATTAATAAAGTTCCTCATGTTGCTCCCAACTTGCATCTGTTAAGTACTTTACCCTTATTGGATCCAGCCAGTGCCATTTATGAGTTGGGCTTTTTATATTTAAAAGCTGAATAACTCTCACAAATAGTTTAGTCTCATGATATGGCAGAACACAACCAATCAAACTATCTTGATTGTAGAGGTGGATGTGAAATCTAAGTAGAAACAAATAAATACATACAGTTAAAAATTTACTTGAAGGTCAAAACAAAGACTCAGCCATGTTCTTCTCAGAACACCTGGTTTGCTTCCTCTTAAGCAAGACCAGAGAAGACTATCACACTGAGGCAGACATATGGTCCGCTTCCCATCCAGAATCCAACAAAAGGCCACTAGCCATATGTAGGAAGACAGGAAAGGAACAATTTTTTACCTCTCACTCAATGATTTTAGGTCCCTAGTTGACATAAACTAGAACTTTAGTTTCTTTTGTACAGACTGTTAATATTAAATCAAAATCTACAATAATGTAGTACAAATTTCTGTACAATATATTAAAAAGAAATCACGATTAAAATGTTGTATCAACAGCAACTGCCCACTCACTGTTTCATGATATGAAACATTACACTTTCTGTATCTGGATAGGTCAATTTATATAAGGACAAGAGCACTTATTGAAAATACTTGGTTCATTTTTTCTTCACACCTTCTTACATTACCTTGTAATAAGGCTACTTAGCTCTTGTTATAAAACAAGGGCATGTTTTACAGTTCACAGTTTATATTGACAGTTTGCTATTTTACACAGCACATTATCTCAAAACATATTACAGAAAAGCCTCTCCAGGTCCTCTGTAAGATGGTTAGAGCTGTACAAATTTAGTGAAATCCTGGCAAACAAATAATTACATTTATACAGATCATCATGGTATACTGAAATTTTTCAGAGAAATTTCTCAAAAGACCAAAATCTAATTGGTACATATAATGCACAGCCCCATAAAATCTAAGCCCAAATTGATATCTTTATAAATATAAATATATAATTTTAACCTTTCAACCTTTGTTCCAGAAAGACTTGGTATAATTATAAAAATTATTCTTATAAGGAAAGAAATTTCTTGCATTTCTAGAAGCCTTATCTATACATGTATGATATTCAGTGGATTACCTGTGAATAAGCCATTCAAGGCACTTTTGTGCTGGCTTAAGCATAAAGTAGGGGGACAGGTGAATGAGGAACAATGAAATATTCTGATTCAGCTGCTGATTTACTGCTTTACTCTGAACGCTGCGTTCCAGGCCTTTGGACATGGGACTAAACAAGCTGGACTGGAACACTTCAAAAGAAGGATCGATCCCCATCAACTCTTCTAATCCAGTGCATCCTGCAGGGAAAAAAAAAATGCTTTAAATGCAACAGCTGTAATCACCAGTCCTATCCAGCTACGTCCTCACTGGCACTGGGTACAATTTTGAGCTCTTCACTTAAAGGAAAACACTGATGTACAAATGTGAATCCAGCAGAGGACCATGACGATGGTCTGAGGACTACAAAATGACATACAAAGTAAAGGCTGAGAACTGGGTTGAAATGAGATGAGATCACCAAAAGGAAATCTTACTGCTGTCAGCATCTACTTAATGGCATAGCATAGGTTATCAAGGAGATGGAGCCAGACTCTGAGATGCACAATGGAAGGACAGGATAGGATGACAGTAATTCCAATTGGAAGGGACCTACGATGACCTACGATCATCGAGGTCAGTAGTCCGACTACTTTGAGGATAACTAAGAGTTAAAACTTTTCATTAGGACTGCTATCCTCTTAAATAAGGACAGGTCATAATGTTACCAAAGAGTAGGGTGTCAGTACATTTTCATGAAATCATAGATTAATTCAGGTTGCAAGGGACCTTGGGAGATCTCTAGTCTAACACCCTGCTCAAAGCAATACTAGCTCCGTTATCAGTCCAGGTAGCCCATGGAATTATCCAGTTGTGATTTTCAGAAGGATGGATGGCAGTCTCCTGTTAAACTGCTGGATGTGATGAAAAGGCTTTTCGATACGCCCACACTGAATCTCTGCTGTTGTAACTTACACTTACTGTCTCCTGTTCTCCTGCCATGCATTTCTCTGAAGAACATGACCCATCTTATTAACATCTCCTGATAGGTATTTGCAGGCTGCAAGCAGACCCATGAAAGTCTTCTCTTCTCTACACTTAACCCACATCATCCTTCCTCCCCTTTTCAGGCAAGTTCTCCAGCCCTTTAGTACCTTGTGTCCTCTGCAATGAACTCACCCAAGTTTGACGAACATCTTATGCTGGGGATGGAGGCAAAACTGGACAGTCTTATAGAAGTCACCTAACAAGCACTGAGTGAAGAGGGATATCATGCCCCTCAAGCCACCAGGTGTACCTGTGACAGCACAGCTCTTGCTAAAGCTAGATAAATGGCGTGCACCGCTCGCTCCTTGCTGTACCACCACAGCAGGCAATCGCACCAGGCAGGCGTGCCTGATCTGCGGTACCGCCACGCTGACTGTCCCCAGTCACCTCACGGGCCCTGAGACGTGCTCCAGCACGACCCATCCTGCAATTCTGCTGCTACCTGGAGGATCACAGAGCCATTACGGTTGGAAAAGCCCCTCAACACCACCTGCTCCAAGCATCCCCCTACACTGACCACCTGAGCTACACCCTGAGCGACTCCTTCGGCACCTCCGTGGCTCAGGACACGCCCTCACCGCCCGCCCGGATAACCGAATTTTACCACGACGGCCGCGCGAAGCCCCCAGCTCACCGATGGCGAAGAAGGTGTCCCTGTCGACGGCAGCCGCCTCCTTGCAGTCGAACAGCAGCGACGCCGCCTCGGCGCGGCTCAGGAGGCTGGGGTCGCTCTGCGGCAGGGCGAGCCGCCGCAGCTGCTCGGCCAGGGACGTCATGGTGAGGCCGCTCCCCTCCGCGGACACCTAACGGGAAGCAACGGCGGCAGGCCGCGGCTCGTAACGGCCCCGTAACGGCTCCGTAACGGCCCCGTAACGGCCGCGGTTACCATGGAGACGCCGCCCCCCTCCCCCCGCCCAGCCCGGTCCCGCCGCCCCGCGCCCACCTGGCCGCGCGCCGCCGGGCCCCCACGTGCGCAGCACCGCGCGCCGCTAACCCGGAACCAGCGGCGGCAGCGGAAGAGGAAGCCCCGCCTCCCGCCCGCCCGGCCACGGGAGGGGGGGGGGGGTGACCCGTGGGTGTAGGTTTAGCTTTGCAGAGAATTATTGACGTGCTTAAATTTATCCATTACAAGTGTCTAGTGATTTCAGCAGGACTGTATGATTTAATTAAATTAAATGTATGAACACCTTTGTAGGAGCAGGGAGAGGAAACGAAGTTGGATATCTGGTTTTGTGCCTGGTTATATTTGCTGGTGCTTTGTCAGTGAGAGGGTATTAACTGCGTATTTTTGTGTTACTTCTGACGGTATTTGGTTGTAAAGGTAATTGCTTAGCTGTTAAAGGTTGATACCACTGCGATTAAAACAGCGTTAAGGTATTTGGAGGATTGTACTGATTTAGAGGATTACTCCTATTTTTCTGATTGTTCTAATGCCTAGATTCTGACCATCTAGCAGATGAGCTTGCTACAGGTGAAGCAAACCAAGATGCCAATTTATTGCACTTGTTCAAATTCCCCATGACTTTTCTGCATCTTTTTCCTTCATGAAGCCTCTTGCAACCTTATTTTTAGTATAGTTCTAACTGCTATAAATATTCATGTTTCTATATCTAAAAATACCAAACATTATTAAAATATGTAGACTTTCCAAAGGCCAGAAACCAGTTTCTAAAAAAAGTACTATATTGTAGTTACCTAATTATAATCAGTCATTATATAGCAGAATAATTGCTAATAACTCTCTAGCCAGAAGATAAACTGGAATTTGCAAATACTGAACTGTGTTCAGGTTTCCAGAATTCCTATCCCACTGTATTCTTCTTGTAGAGAGCTGCAACAGGTATCTTTCTAGCGAAGCAAAAATAGTTGGTTTTGATTTAATTTCAAAAACCTGTTCCATAGGAAAAATACAAGAACAGAATGCCTGCTAAGAGCTATGCTTAGTTAGCACTGTAATTCCTCAGTGGTGAAGCTGACTATCTCAGAGACTTGTTCCAATTTCTATTTATGTGCATTAAGCTCTGGAGATGTACACTGAACTGCAAAGTGATGCTTTTCTGAACTTAAAATCAAGCCTGTTTCATCCAGTCCCTTCAGATTCCCAGTGCCTGCATTGTCACATTGCTACTCTGTGTAGGTGGAATTCTTGTGGCCATACTGCAGCTAGGGTTGTCTCTGTTGATGGTTGCTTTTAAGCCGAGTTTGACACAGATTGGATTGTCTGCTGAAGATTTTTGAGTCTTAGAACATAAATTTTCACATACTAATTTATATTTGGAAAAAAATGATGCAGAGAGAGCTATATCTACCTCAGTAAGTAATGCAGCCCAGTAGAAAGAAACTTGTGGAGAGAAATGGTGCTGAGGAACCTCCGTCCACACTATATACATTTCAGAGGTTTTATGCCGACTGGATCTTGTTCTGCCCCATAGGCTAACTTCCTGCTAGGTGCACTCCTAGAATGCATTGGCTGGTTTGGTTTCTTATGTAGGCCACAGACAGGGAGGAGTTTGGGCGAAAGTGGAGAAGAGAATCACTTCTGATGCAAAACAAGAACTGTTCAGTAGAATACAATAGTAATGTATCAAAATGAAGGTAAGGAATTGAGTATCGCCTGTACAGTTGACATGCAAAGTTATGGGCTTGGCCCGTGTTTTTATTATTCTCAAGAGTTTATTAATTCATTTCCTAAGATGATTCTTTTTCCTTCTTACACCATCTCCTGTAATCTGATGATCCACCATGATTTTGGATCATTTATTAAAACAGTTTTGAAGGAGTTGGAAGAGAGCCACTGTTCATCCACTTTGCTATTGCTTGCTAATAATCTTGGTAAGTTTACTGACATTTCCCCATGCCATTGGTAATAGGGAATGTGAAAATACTTGACATCCAAAATACAATCTGATTACAACATGATGAAGTAATATTAAAACTTTTCTAGAGTAGTCACAGGAGTCTTTAATGTCCTTACAGTAAGTATCGAGTTCTCCAGCTTTTGAAGCAGAAGTAGGTGTTAACAAATGTGTGTGGTCAGTGGGGGTATATGTATGCAGAGCTGTAAATGAATCCATATTCTAGAAGTGGATTGGATATTTTCTAAGCCAATGTAAGCTCGTTGTCAGGAGATGCCTTTTGTTTTGCTGTAGGTTTCAGGAGGTGTGCTAATGTTTTGTGATTTTGGAGGCTGTGCAGTTAAACTTGCTACTCTGAGCCAATGTACATCTTTGTTCTTAATTCATATACATATCTGCTCCTTTTTGGAGATTATCATTTATAGGCAGATCTGTGGTCTCTGATTTTATGGAGTTCCTGTAATTGTCAGGAAGAAGGGAAGAACAGTGCTTTATTGTATACTTTAGGGCTCAAGTAATTATTTTTTCTCTATTTTAATTTCTTTCTGCTCTCTGTAAAAATGCAGCAGTCACCCTTCGCATCTGGACTTTGTTATGCAATGATCAGACAGTGCCTTTCTGCAGCGTATACCTTGATAGGCCTTGAGTCCATTATTTTCTTGGCTTGGCTTTTGTTAGAAACAAAGAGATTGGAGTTACTGTACCATCTAGGAATGCAAATACATAAAACTAGAAAGTTGAGATTTATCTTCCCTGTCTTCTACTCCTCAGCTACAGACTTACCTTTTATGCTTACTTTAGGGAAACTCAGGAGTAACTCATGAGGACAGTGGAGTTCTACAAGAGTGCAGCTGGTGGAACTGGAGGCAGAAACAAACATAATTCAGTGGTGCTTGAGGTTGCAGAAAATGGCCGTACTAATAGGTGAAACAGGACTGAAAGGAAAATAATTTTTCAGTTGAACTGAATGGCTGGGAGAAACTTGCTTGCTAGGCACTATATCAAGCACATCATCGACTTACTGACCACTGTGGCAGTCAGTATCGTGTTTCCCTGGCTTTTCTTGGAAAATCTATTGCAGCTTCCCCCAGCCATAAATTCTCATGTGTAGCTGCATTCCAGATCTAAAAATAAATAGAAACCCTCTGGATGGGGTGGAGAAGGGGCTATTTTGGGGACTTTACTGTATTAAAGGTTTTATGACACGGTACTACAAACTCTGTGCTTCAAATCAAAAATTATTGTAAAGGAAGCTTTTAAATATTTATTCTAGAGAAGAAGAAATAAACCATAAATAAATAATAATAATAAAAAAAAAAAGGTGCTTCAGCTAGGCATGTGCAGAGAAAGCATTGGCTTGAAAACAATAGGCAAGGGCTGTCTTCATAACTCTGTATTCATACATGATAGGCCTAGTTTATTCCTAAAACATCAGGGATTGTAGAGATCACAAAAAAAAAAAGGAAAAAACAATTCTTCTATTGCTGAACTACAGGTGGATTATTATATTTTTTTATATTTGTGTATTGTAAAAAAATCAGTTAGAAAGTTGGATTTCAATGAACGCTCAATTGTTGTAGTGAAAAATAGGCAACTGCCTCTCATGATTGCTGTGACTGTGATAGTTCTTTGCCATGATTTGATATTTATTAGGCTGAGAAAAGGTATTCTTTGTGTATACATTAGCTGCTTACTGTTATGAAAAGATGCCTTTGCTAGACAATCTACGGAGAGAGTAGGTGCTGTGGAGCTACTCTGTGGTACTTGTGAGTTGTGGTGTTTAATGTGTCAGGAAAACTTGGTAATGGGAGTGTGGCTTTTTGGGACTTGGATGTAATAGGCAATAAGGGGACTGTTGGGTACTAGACATGCCTCGTCTTTCATAGCAGGGCTATAAATGATGAAAGAGAAACTTAATTGAAGGTTGGAAGAAGGAAAATGTGATCGATAAGAAGCATGCTTCTTAATGCAGTGTGCTTTTCTTACTGCAGTATGCTGTCTGGCTATCTCCTCTCTCTGTTGCCTCTGTTATTCAAGCAAATGGCAAGTGTAGGAATAACAGCAGATCTCATGTGGTGCAGTTACCCATTCCTGACCTGCAGCTGTTCAAATTGCTATTTACTTGGCAGGCCAGCCAGTTGCTGTTCTTTTGGTTGTGTGGTTTTATTTTTTTTAAATGCTGAGATGAATCACATCTTCTTCCCTGAAGGAGAAATAGTGTTGTTCCTGTCCAGACACACTAAATACCTTTAAGCCTGTTCTCAGGCTGGCCCTTGAAGCTAGTGCCACTTTCATTTCTTCATTTACCTCAGTCACTGCCAGTCGTGCCTTTTTCATACCTGGTGGAATATGTGGTTTAAACTAGAAAGAACTTGCGATTTTAGATGATAATGTCAAAAGCCAATATGATTCATGTTCAATGGCAGAAGGTGGAAGATGCATCTGCTGATTTTGCTGTGTGCTTATATTCAATTACATGTTTTTTATTTATTTTCTAAAATTTATTTTACATGTCTTTGCATAGGAATGAATTACGTGTTCATGTAATGCCTAGCTCAGTGGCATTATGAACACTGGCAACAACTGAACAACTTCTTTAAACATATGCATATATATATGAGAGAGATTAATACTATAGTATCTAAAGAATATTAAAAAGTGTGTTCTTGTGATACTGCATTATACAAAGTATATCACAATCACAAAAAAAAAAAAACAAACTTAAAATTTCATTGCATTTCAGTACAGTTTTAAAAGATGTTTGGGTTTTATATTTGCTTTCATTGTGCCTTGGAAACTGTTCATGCTATTATGTGCTTTGGGGATCCCTGGTGGAGAGAAAACTAACTGTTCTTTGAAGAAATAGTGCATTTGATTTAGGTGGCAAGGGCATGCAACTGAGTTTTACTGATAAGCCTAGATCTCTAAATCTGGGAACTTGCTAGAGATGCCATGCTGTCAGACCTAAAATAGTGGCCTTGCTGTCTTGAGATGATGCAAAGCTTTGGTGCTCCCTTCCACAAAATAGACTTGACAAATGGAAATGTTCTTGATAACAGCTAGTAACTGTTACTGGTGGAAGGTTATGTCAGTGTTTTCTCCAGTGCGTTTCTTGCTCTCTAGCATTCTGCGTGTATTGTGTATTCCACTGAAGAGAGCTCTTTGCAGAGGAACTACTTGAGAGAGACTTGGAGATCCAGTGACATCAGAGGTGATTCCTTGGACACACTGAGAGGAGGGTACTATTTCTGCAGAAAGCTTGAGAGGCACTTAGGGGGTAGGAAGACAGCCTGGCATTGAACATCTAGTGAAGGGGAGTGTGTGGCTCTGAGAATCAGGTGATTTTGACACTGTTGCTGATACACCTCTTTGAATTAAGCCTGGCAACCAGAGACAAAGCAGTTCCTGCTGTGATGCTCTCAAATACTGTATAGAAGAGGTTCTACTTCAGAATCTTACCTTCATACTTTACCTGTGATAGGACCCTTTTGGTTTGTAATACCTACTAATTGCAACAGTTCGGTGATGTATGTGCCTTGCTTCAGTCTATAGAGGGGGAGCAAAGCATTTTAAACAATTTATGACTAATTTCAACTTCCAAATGTGTCTAGTCTGTCTGTGTCAATGTAAAAGATTTCAAGACTGTTGTGTGTGAATCCACAACAGACAGGTCTAAGATGCAAAGAAACAGAACAACTCTTGTTGTTGGCCTGTTGTAGTGAATCTGGATTAACTTCCCCTGCCTTTGAGGAATGTAAACAGAAAGCTTTTATCTTTTAGTGTGTGGAACATAATGTTTCTTGAGCAGAAGCTGTAATGGTTTTATTATTGTCAAGGTGCACTGGAAACCTTTATTACTTTTGTTAACATTTTGTATGAGCTGTCTTCCAATTCAGAATTTATTTTTAATTTCTTAATTTATAAAGTATTTATAATCAGTTATAGAACAGATGTCTTAAAACAAACTAAAAAAAATAAATAAATAAGATTACAAGTCAATTAATTGTGGGCTATGGCAGAATTGAAGTTTTCTAAGCAATCTTAATTCATCCGCTTTGTAAGTTTCACAATGCAAGCTTTAATTGCATAGTCACAAACTCCTTTTCTCCAGAAATACTGCTTTGTTTACTGTGTTGCATAAGCAGAGTTCCACAGCATTATGATTTCTCTTTTTTTATTCAGTAGAGGTCTGTTGCATGCAGTTGAAGCATGTTTCCCAAATATAAAATAAATTATTTTCATCTCTGGTTATCACTGTATTTCTACTTTGAGTATTCTAAATCCATAGGGTATTCAATTTTCATATGTATCCTTACACTTTATTGTTATAATTATTGGTCTACAGAAAGAAAAGTGAGGTACATGCTCCCAGTTGTAGAGTCCTACATTTGCCTGGTATTTCCATTATGCATTGTTTTAAACGTTTTCTCCTGCAATTGGAAGTGCATTCTATGACTCCTGACTTCCACTACTTACCAGTACAAAATCAGCCCCTGGGTTTACAGGGCTTGTTTTGTCCCACCAGTCTCATTTTCCATAGATCATCTGTGTAGCAGGGTGACCTATGAAGGAGGTATAAGGGGGGTTGCTGAGCCATGAGGAATGAATGAAAAAGTTTCTTGGTGTTCTAGAAGCTCATTCACGACTCAGTGGTTTCCCCTACAGAAGCCCGAGATATATTTGAATACATCCGTTTCATGGATGAACTTTGATCCATGCAGTTCAATCCATCCATGAACT